CCGCAGTTGCAAGCCGCTCGGCAAACGTCAATCCGCAGCTGCTTGCAGATATCCCGCCAAGCCCCTCCACCCCCCCCGAGGCCGAGATAGCTTAAGGCAGTGTTTCTCAACCTTAGCAACTTGAAGATGTCTGGACTTCAACTCCCAGAATTCCCCAGCCAGCGAATGCTGGCTGGGGAATTCTGGGAGTTGAAGTCCGGACATCTTCAAGTTGCTAAGGTTGGGAACCACTGGCTTAAGGAGCCTCCCTTGGATGAAGTCCGATGAACCACCTGCTGCTCTCTCCGAGGCCGGGGCTTCCCCCCCTCCGCCAGTACTCAGGTCCCGGGTTCCCCTTCCCCGCCCTCGGATTCCCGGAACCCCCCCCCCCTCACTCGGCCCCGCCCTCTAGCTCGTCTGGCCCCGCCTCCCCTTGACAAAAGGCCGGCGGGGAGTCTCTCTCTCTGTCTCCCTCCCCGCCAATGCTCGGCTGCCTTCGGAGAGGGCGCCAAACAAAGGCTGGTCGGGTCGCCTCGCCTCTCCTCTCCCCTCCCGGCCGGGCTTTCTCTGAAGGGCGGGGGACGCCGTTGCAGCGGCCAGACACCCCTGGCCAAGTGCCGGGGACGACGACGACGAGGAGGAGGAGGAGGAGGAGGAGGCGGCGGCTGAAATTAGAGATGCTGCCCGGTTGAAGCGGGGCGGAGGAGCGGGCCGGGCTTGCGCGCGCTTGAGGTACCTGTGGTGTTTGGTAGCCTAAGTCCTCGCTGCCGCCGCCGCCGCCGCCGCGACCATGGCCATCGCGCACATCGCCACCGAGTACGTCTTCTCGGACTTCTTGCTGAAGGAGCCGTCGGAGAGCCGGTACAAGGGGCTGCGGCTGGAGCTGGCCCTCGACAAGCTGGTCACCTGCATCGCCGTCGGGCTGCCGCTGCTTCTCATCTCGCTCGCCTTCGCGCAGGAGATCTCCATAGGTAAGCCCAGCGCTGTCCTGAGGAAGGGGGCGCGCCGGCTCGCCTGCCCTTATCCGGGGCTCGGACTGAGGGAGTGGGACTGCGGGGGGGGGGCAGAGCCGAGGTGGCGCAGTGGTTAGAGTGCAGTACTTCAGCTGACTGTTAGCTGCAGTTCAGCGGTTCAAATCTCACCGGCTCAGGGTTGACTNCCCCCCCAGCCCCCAGAAGCACTCTATAATCCTCCTAAAGGCTATGCATGCCCCTCTTTTTTTGACAAAAAAACGGGGTCGTTTTTGGGTGGTCTGCAGAGTGCAAAAACTTTTTTAAAAATATGCCTCTTCAAAATCTTGTTGCGTCTTATACTCCGGTGCGTCTTATACTCAGAAAAATACAGTATTGATGCCCAAGAAGTTGTGTTATGCTTTTTTGTAATTGTTTGGAAACTACATCACTAAAGTTGGTCCTTGACTTACAACCACAATTGGACACCTTTAAGAAAAACATATTTATTTCTATTTACTTGTTCTTAATGGCTGCCTAAGTACCACTTTATGCTCAATTTTAAGGGTGTGCAGTGTGTTTTAATTGGGTATTTAGGCTAATTAAGGTTGAAAGTATGCCTAAGTCCTGTATGTTGAGCTCATCTGACTCAAAATTATTAGAATTGACTGAGAGGTGAAATGATCCAGAATTTCAAGCAAGTATTTTTCCAGATTTACTTAAGAGAAGTGGGGAAATTCAGTTTGGGACATTTTGTAAACTAAAATTGCCCCCAGATGGAAATGTATTCGTATCTCATTTTTATTCCAAGAGCTTTTTAGAATGGATATGGTACAGGTAGTCCTTGACTTACAACAGTTCACTTAGTGACCATTCAAAGTTACCACAGCATTGAAAAAAGGGACTTATGACCGTTTTTCACACTTATGACCTTGGCAGCATCCCCATGGAGCAAAATTCAGATGCTTGGCAAGTGGTTCAAACCTATGATGGTTGCAATGTCTCGCGATCAACTTTTTCGACCTTCTGACGAGCAAAGTCAATGGAGGGAGCCAGATTCACTTAACAACCATGTTACTAACTTAACAACTGTTAAGATTCACTTAACAGCGGCAGCAAGAAAAATTGCAAAATGGGGCAAATTCGCTTAACAAATGTTTTACTTAGGAACATAAATGTTGGGCTCAGTTGTGGTCGTAACTCGAGGACTACCTGTGTTGAACTCTTCTTATATTAGTAACCCAGCGAGAAAGATTAAGATGAATGCTGGTGTCTGGACTAAAATGTTTAAACATGTTGCTTCCCCCAAAAATAGCTTGAATAGAATAGAGCTGGACGGGACCTTGCAGGTCTTCTAGTCCAGCCCCCTGTTCATATAGTGAGCTCTGTGTGTCAATTAGGGATTTAATTTAACTCCCACTGATGCTGCTTCAATCCTTGGTGGAAGTGATTTTAGGGCATTCATCATACAGTCCATGGTGGGTTGCTTCCGGTTCATCCCAGTTCGGCCGAACCAGCAGTAGCAGCGGCGGGAAGCTCAGCCCACCCACCCGGACATTTCTATACATGCGCAGAAGCATTGGGTGCGCCCGAACCAGTAGTAAAAATATTTACAACCCACCACTGCCAACAGTATGATTACTTCTCAAACAAATGACACTACATAGATAGAATGTAGAATCATAACACTGGAAGGGACCTCAAAAGTCTTCCAGTCCTACATATACATTTTCATCTTTTCTCCAATTAAGAAGGTCAATTTAAATTTCAGCAAGCTCTGATAATCTTAACCAAACATTCTCCATTGCAGGCGCTGCCATATCTTTCCATCTTTTGTGTATACAATAATTTCACTGCCGTTATCCTATATCCAAGATGGCGAACCTATGCGACGCATACCCAAACTGGCGCATGAAGCCATGGCACCTGGCATGCGCAGCCTTGCCTGTTTGTCTTCCGGGTTCCTGGCATGCATGTGTGCGCAATGATCAACTGCCCTTCGTGCGCGTGGCAGTGCTGAAAACCGGTGTGCGCATATGCCCCAGCTAGCTGATTGTTGGGTGTGCATGCATGCAAGAACTCAGAAGTTCGGCTTTTCTGGAACGTGATACCTTCGTGTGCACAGCAGTTGCCAAAAACCAGCTTGCTCATGCGTGCCAGCCAGCTGATCAGCAGGCGCACATATGTGCTAGAACCCAGATGACTTTTCCGGAGCGCGGCCCTGATGAGCATATATGTGTGATGTTTCCGTGGGACTTTTTCACTATCGTGTGTGTGTGTGTGTGTGTGTGTGNGAGCCGGTGAGATTTGAACAGCCGAACTGCAGAACTGCAGTCAGCTGAAGTAGCCTGCAGTGCTGCATTTAACCACTGCGCCACCTCGGCTCTTAACGACTGTGATGATTGACTTAATAACTGGGGCAAGAAAGGTCGTAAAATGGGGCAAAATCCGCTTAACAAATGTTTTACTTACCATCATAAATTGTGGCCTCAATTGTGGTCATAAGTCAAGGACTATCTGTATTATCCTTATCTTCTTTGCCTACCCCCTCTTATAGGTATTATTATATTATATTAATATATATTAATACTAAATAATTATTTAGTATTCTGTTTTTTTGCCTGTACACTGAGAGCTTCTGCACCAGAAACAAATTCCTAATGTGTCTAATCACACTTGGCTAAATAAAAGTATAGGTAGCCCATGACTTATAACAGTTCATTTAGTGACCATTCAAAGTTACAACAACGATACATCTGAAAAAAGCGACTTAAGGTCACTTTTCACACTTGTGACCATTGCCACCATCTCCATGGTCAAGCGATTAAAATTCAGACAGTTGGGAGCTGACTCTTATGACGGTTGCAATGTCCTGGGGTCATGTGATCAACGTTTGTGCCCTTATGACACAAAATTGGTGAGCAATGTCAATGGGTATATCAGATTCCCTTAACAATCATGTTACTAACTTCACTTCAATGATTCATTTAACGAAAGGTTGCAACATGGGGCAGAACTCACTTAAATGTCTTACTTAGCAACATACATTTTGGGTTCAATTATGGTCGTAACTTGAGGACTACCTGTACTCTCTTCTATTGTATTATTTTACTCCTTTTTTATGGTAAGCTGCCTGGATGTGATGAGTGTGAGAGGGGCAGCTATATAAATTAAGTAAACATCAATCACTTAATTGCATTTTGGTCATAGAACAGCATAGAATAACACAATTATTTCTTTAGGAAGTAGAAATATAAACATATATAACAATCATGCTGATGAAGATTCTAAGTCATCCAGGTAGAGTTACCTGGAAATTGAGTCACAGCAACTCGACTTATTTTCTTGCTGGTTTGAAACATTTTGCTGCTTATTATCCTAATAGTCTTTTCAATCTCTGCAAGTTGGTGAGGGGTAACACCACAAATGTCCTCCAGAGTGGTTTTATAATAAAATCACGTTGATAGGATAAAAGAGTTAAAATTATAAATAAAAAATTACAGCATTCAGGAATTAAAATGTGGGAAGATCCTATAAAATTACAATTAGTATATAATCTAAGGGATGCAGTGGCTCAGGGGCTAAGATGCTGAGGTTGTTGATCAGAAGGTCGGCAGTTCAGCGGTTTGAATCCTCGTGTAACGGAGTGAACTCCTGTTAATTGTCTCTTCTGCCAACCTAGTAGTTCGAAAGCATATAAAAATGCAAGTAGAAAAATAGGAGCCACCTTTGGTGGGAAGGTAACAGCGTTCCGTGCGCCCTCTAGAGTTGGGAATGACTAGCACGCATGTGCGGGGGAACCTTTACCTATATAATCTAAATCAGGGGTAGTCAACCTTTTTATAACTACCATCCACTTTTGTATCTCTGNAAAGTGGCATTGACACTTCACGAGATCTTGATTCTGTCCCTCTGTTGATGCAGCTATTTCTATGATAGATGTATACATGTCTTGCAAATTGGCATTGGCTTAGACGTCAGTAGAACTGATCAAACATGATAAGAGAAAGTCATGGAAGGAGTATAGCTTGATGTTACGGATGGTACGATATGGTTCTCCAGATTTTTCTCAACACTTCTCCTATTAAGTGTTAGGAGCTCCTAAGAATTTCAATTCAGTGACAACAGGAAGCTTGTATGTTGGACACAGTTTGACTGAGGTCATGCGACATCTTAAACAGGATTAACAAAGCACAGTTGCAGTGTGTCACATAACACATTCTGGCCAAAGAAGTCAACAAGGGTTGACTCTAGTGGAGTGGCTCACACAACATGCTGGGCGGTCCTCCTGGACTCACGATTCCTGCCCGGTGAGCAAGTGATTCTCGTGGCTAAGAGTGTCTTCACCACGTTTCATCTTGTGCACCAGGATAAGCTGGCTCTGCTTACAGTCATTCATGCCCTAGTCACCTTCTGATTGGACTGTTGCAAGGCACTCTACATTGGGCTGCCCTTGAAGAGTATCCAGACATGTCTGATGGTACAGAATGCAATGGCCTGAGCACTAGGAGTTGTCAAAGACTCCACATGTCTTCTTTGGTTTTTGGGGCCTGGCATAAATGCTCAAGATGTCCCGCCCTTTTATATTTTCATTTTAGTGCTTAAGAGACAGCACAGCTTGGAAAATTTGGAAGGGAGGAAGAGAGTTAAAACAGCTGCTCCCTCGTGATTCCCAGAGTATATCTATAGTGATGCAAATAGTTGGTTTAATTTGGCAAGATTCTGTCTGTAGGTGAGAAACAATAAAGGAAATTGCTCAGAAGTAACTCCACATGTTTTTCTTGGCTCTTGGGGCCTGGCATAAATGTGTAATGTGTCCTGCCCATTTATATTTTCATTTTACTGCTCATTTTCATGACATCTTTGAAATTACTCTGTCATCAAATTTCCTGATTTCTGATTCAATCTCTGAGCAAGATCTTTAGCATTTATTCTTCTTTTGCATGATGGGTGACTAGAAGCTGGTCATATCTGTAGGTTCCACATGTCATGTTGTATCACAGAGGATGTTAGTGTGATAT